AGCCAATCACAAGAATTAGTTGCTAAGACACCATGACTTATATTTCACTTACTTTTGCAGTTTCACAAATTGAGCACCTATGTGCTGATATCCACAGAGATATGCTGCGGGAAGGAGGCACCTAAGATTTAAGGAATTTGGCAGGGGCAGAGGAAGTCTAACTGACACTTAGAGCATGAGAGATATATGGTATATGGAATGCAGCAGCTTTACAGGGGCTCATGAATTCACTGTGCTCTTCCTTAAGATCTAGATAGCGTAAATTGTTGTGCAAATCCTTTGGAAGCAATTATATGATATCTGGTAGAATATATTGTTACCATTGTGCTTAATTACATTAAATGTCCCCAAGATAGTGCCATGCTGTCCACTTTTGTCCACTCTGCTGCATACTAAGCTATGGTTCTTGCCTAACTACAGGAAAAAGGGCTGATGTGAAAAGGCCCAAATAAACAGTATAGAGTTCTGTGGAGTGAGTATCAATTAAAAACACTTAGAGCACTATAATAATCCTTACATGAAGGCTGAGAATGGACCCAGTTCTTCCAAAGATCAGCAGCAACTCTGTGTGGTACCACTGTGTGCAAGGTGGTTTAGGATAACAATCACAGCCCAATACGTTTTTCTTCCTTAAGAAAACTTGATACCTTGTATTGATGCTAAATAAGGATATGGCTCTTGACATGTACATCTTTCAGAAATATGGCTTTTTATCTCTCCAAGTAGCCTTAAAATGCACATTTGGGGCTCTGCTACCCAAGTGAGAGGTCTGGATGCTGCAGGTCTCCCAGGCAGTTAATTATCACAGATTATGATGGTGAAGGAACAGGTCATTTATGGACATGATTCTCCGAAAGTGCTATGTTTTGCTGCATAAACCTCTTACACCAGAGTTAATACTGATCATGACTACATAATAAAATCGTGGATTTCTCCCCCAAAGAGTCAACTGTGTTAGCAATTTAATAATTGTATGCCTTCTGCATTCTGCAATCTCTCTCTTTAAACATCTAATCAGCATTCATTTAAATGCAGGATAATTAGCAGATACACTCATGGAAGGGTGCTGAAGTGATCCATGAAAATTTAACTGCTTGATGTATTGCAGCACACACTAACAGCTGGAGTCCTAGTAAGACAGAACACACGGCAACAGAAGCAAAAAAAGATTTAAAAAAACATTAACTCAATTTCAGAGTTTCAAATATTTGCATGGTTTCCCCCTCAGTAGAGGGCCAAAACAGTAAATGCCACTTTGTCTTCCCATGTTTTGTCTATAAATAAGCCACTCTGTTGGTATATTAACTAGCTAGGTATTTACCATCAATATACAGGCAAATATTTGGTGGCATTTTTCCTAGACTTTTTGTGTGCTGATCCACCAAAGCACAGATAGCCTAGCAAAAAAACATCTACAGAGGAAAAAAACCACATGTCCACATGATAGCAAAATATCTGAACCACAGCCAACACACTCAAACTTTGCTTGGCTTAATTGCCAGACTCTTTGGACACAGGCAGATCCCAAGTTCTTAGTCAAATTAAACACAACCTTGTAGTCCATGACACTACATATGTCAGCAAGGACTTCTTTTTTGTCTCAGCAAGGAGGGCAGTTTTGCAGGCTACAACTCTTTTTTTTTCCCCAAATACTCTCACCAACTCATTAAGCAGTTACTAAACCAGTGACTTGTACAGGTGGCAGATGCTGAGTTACTGGAAAAGACCTGGGACAAGGTCTCATGGACAGAGTGGGCAGAAGGGCCCCAAGAGAGGCAGCAGCAGAGAGAGCTGGGAGCAGCCCCAGGTTGGCTCTGCACACACACCACCCCAGACTATGTGAGGGTACCTGACCTGAAAGCCCTCTGGTGCTCTATAGCAGCACCAAGGGGAAGGTGGGATGTCCAGGGGGACTCAGGGGGACTCAGCAACTCAAGGCCAGAACAAGCCCACGCACCCACATGAACCCCTTCACTCTGTGAAAATCACCTATTTTAAAACAAGAGATACCTCATGAAAATTAATTGTGAACTTCAGTGGCAAAAGAGAGGGTCAGACCAGAAGGTTATGTTGGTTGAGCTGAGCAGTTTTGCATGCCTGTTAGGATGAAAAAAACAGTTCCTAACACCATTGTCCCTGTGAGGTGGTAAACACAAGACTTAATTTACTACCTTTGCATTTTACTGGCACTTCATTAAATACAGAAAGGAAAACGGGCACAGAGATAGTGGTGCATGGAAATATAAACTAAAGACTGAATTTGGGATAACCATTCCTGTAAAGTCACTGTGAGAACATGATTCTTCTGTCTAAAGCACTTACATCGTGTCTCTCAGTATTACTGACTGCAAGCCTGACAGTATTTTACATGACATGGGACCAAATAGGAAGAAGTGACATTTAAAAAATATGCCTGAATGTCAAAGCTGACATGCTAGTTTGTCACCAAGCTATAACATCCTTATTCTTACTAACATTTTTATGTTCTGGCAAACAGTTTGCCCTTCTAGTGGATATGACTAATATATAATTGAGTTTATATAAACTAAGGAAGAAAATGACATATTATTTTGATTCATTCTCATTAGGTACCACCCTAGGGCATTTTTAAACATGAAAAATGCCCACAATTATGATTTTTATAAAATATACTTTAATCTTGCACTCTATAACTATGTAATTATTTTGCCAGTAGCAATTTCTTATGCATCTCCTCTTTGTATTCAAAGCTTACCTATTGCCATGAGTATTTGTAAAAAAATACATCCATTAAATATGCCTTGGTTTCACTAGCCTAGGAAAAGACTATTAATCACCTGGCAGCCACAAACACAACATAATACCTGCTATTGCTCACAAGCACCTCACACTGACTGCTACTGCATGATGTAATTGCATCCAACAACCCCAAGCACACAAAGAGGCTTTCTCTCTTCACTGCTTTGCCAGTCTCTCACCTACCACAAAGCAGCTGATGCATTTATGAGATATTCCAGGCTGTTTTTTTCTTTTCTTACATTACTATACCAACTTCTAGTGAAATTCATTTGTAGTGACCATCCTGAGACTAGATGCACAGAGGACATAAATGCATCAAGTGGGGCAGGGTTGTTGGTCTCACCAAATCCTCCTGAGGAGGCTCACCAGCTCTCACCAGCACACGGGGGAGAGTTTGCAGCTGTAACTAGCAATTAGGTTTGTTATGGGCAGGATCACTGAAACAGTGTTCTTTAAGGAAAACAAATAGTTGAAAAACAAGAATGACTGACGGTCTCCTATCAGACATCTGTGGTAAAAGCACATTCCCCGTTGTCCAGTGACATTGCTGAGTTGGATATCAGTCAGAATGACAAGGTATTTCATGTGCATTTATACCTGTGGGTAGCTGCCACAAACTCTGTTAATATTATATTATGTAAGAAATGTAAAAAAGTTGTGAGTTAGAAATGAAACATGGCAATTATTCCTTGACCTTGTTTTAAATTCTTTTCAGTATGTTGACACTGCACATCTTGTGCTAAGCAGCAATTATTTTCCATGGGAAATGTTTCTCTGATACCCTACTTGTACTTTCATTAATCACAGGTCACCTTCAGAAGTCTGAACTTCTAATTTGACAAACATCTAAAAATGTAAAAGTTGAGTAACCCTGGCCATGTTTAGAGTCACTCTGAGCATTAAGCATTTTTTTTATCTACCACAGGTATTCAGATGAATGTTAGAACTACCTAGTGCTTTTGTGTGTGTGTGTGCGCGCGAGCTCTTTAGCTACTTGTCTCAATTATGCTGTGTGAAAAAGGTCAGTCCCTTCCATCACACTTGAATTGGTTGCCCTCTCTCTTCATCAGAGGCCTAGTTAACCGAGCCTACACTGACTCTGTTACTTTCCCTCTCTCCCATGGTCATTAAAGGTACACAAGGCATCACAGGTGCTCCCCAGGTCTTCTCTAACCCTTCTCTACTACCAGTGGCCTCAACCACCCATTTTTGCCCCTCAGCATCTTCAATTCCACCCCCTTTATCCCTCTTCTGCTCAGGACGTGTTAGTGCTCTTTCTACCTCCATAGTGCTGAAGCATGCATCTCCTACTGCTGTTGAACATTACATTAAGGTATATATTTGATGAGGAACTTTATAAAAATTCCTTCTTATCAGCCAGCCCATGCTGGGGAAAGGGAAGGCACTGGAGGATCACAAGCAGATGCTGTCAGATGGGGAAATCTGATTAATGGGAACTGGAGGGAGGGAGCAGCAGGGTGAGAGCAAGGAGAAATCAAAGTGTGATCTATCCAAGCAAGGTGGGAAATGAGTCTGTGAAAGGGGGCGTGAGCTGAATGCTAACAACCTGAATGCTTGGCTCAGGTCCTCTCCTTGCCATCTGCTGTGGCAGCACCAGATCCTCTTCTCACCTTTGGTTGTCCCTGGTAACTTCAAGCAGGCTCAGACATCCAACTACTGTGGCAATTTGTGGCTGGTCAGTGGCAAACCAGCAGCTAAAGCCCAGTGAGTAACGTGCTCACTGTGCAGCACGTCCTTGCACAGCCAGGAGGGAAATATTGTCATCCCTCTTCTCTTTAGATGTTTGGAAAATGCTCCCCTTTTAAAACAAAACCCTGATATTTCGGCAGGATATACAATATTTTGTGTTATTTTTCATGGCACTCCCCCAGCCCCATCCCTTCCCAACGAGATGCTCTAACCCTCATTTTATAAAACAAGTGTCTGTGACACATTCACAGAACAGACAGCCAAAACCAGGTCCCTGGGCATACAGACCCAAGCTCTTCCCTCTTTTGTTCAGATAAACTCCCATTGACAGCTTCCAAACTAGAGATATAATTAAATATATTAGATAAATATTAATAATTAGGGGTAGTTGAAACATCCTGTTAAAACAAAATGTTGCTTCAGTAAGACAGTGCATATGATGAGCTGAAAGACCAAAGGTTTGCCTAGAGAGTTAATAGCAGACACAAGGTGGTGTTCACTTCTGTGCTTACCTTCAGCACTGTGATATTCCATGCAAAACTCTCAATGGCTTTGCTTAATTTTCTTCCTTTCAAACCTTCCTTTGTCCCGAGGTTATGAAGCTCTTCGTGGAATTCCATTCCTAAAAATACAGATTGATATGTCACCCAGTGCACGACTGACTTCCCCTATTAAATGCTCATGAGCATTTTCAGTCTCGCAGTTAGTACTTCCTACACCTATTTTTGTGGGGTTTTTTCTCCTCTCCTGTGACGATGGCATCCCGGAAAGCACCTTGCAGAATAAAAGTCATGTGCAGTCTTGCGGTTGTGCTTCCACCTTCATGTGTAACTCTACTTTTCCAGTGTTGGGGTCCCACCCGGGCACACCCACACAAACACTTCTCTGGTGCTTCTGCTCGATGTCTGCCTTGCTGGCAATATTGTGACAAAAAGCAATTGCCTGTCACTCTCCTTCAGTGGATGATGATGTACTTTGGAAGGCAGCCTGACAGACGTGGAAGATACCTGTTCAGCACAGCAAATACAGACAGAAACGCTGCTCATTCATCTTAAACACAGCCATACAGCAAACGCAGAGCTGCTCATTCATCTTAAACACAGCCATACAGAAAAGCCCTTCACAACAATAAATTATTTGTTACATTGTTTCATTGACGGTTTCTACCGCTGCAAATCTGTTGCTGGATACAAGAATTCAGGAAAATCAGGAGCAGATTAAAACCCTCAACGAGTCCAAATTAGCCCATCAATTCTACAGAATTTGCACAGCATATGCAAATATTTCTCTGAGTCTGGTGTGGATTAAGGGACAAAATGGAGAGAGAGCTGCTTGTGTTCCCTTAATTTGTACCTTACAAAGCCAAATTGGCACTAACTCACTCCAAAACACCTGGAGCCTATCCTGGCTGAGTTCCATCTCTAGCTGTTTCATGGCTTTCCCTTCCTTAACATTTTAAGGCAAATGTCACTCTCAAATTCAAGCTCCATTGACATGACATGAAAGAGAACCCCACAGGAAGAACACCTGCACAGAGCAGACGCAGAGGCTGCTCAGTGGATTGCTGAAGGAGTCAGTCCTGCAACAGCCCGAGGCAGGATTGCACTTGGCATCGCCGGCCCAAAGCGCTCCTGGAACACTAACAATAGGTTTCCTTTCACATTGCACTGACTCCAGGAGCTCCATAACACTGAGGCAGTTCAACCTCACACAACGCACCATTCCTCTACTGTTTACCTTCCAAAACTTCGCCCACAAGTTTTGCCTGTCTGGGGTAACAGAGCTCCTGCAGCACTTCCTTTGGGAAACAGTCTGAATAATTGCACCCCAAGAAAGATTCCCCTGCAGGTGCACCTCATGCCAACTGACTTAGGCAGTAAGTGAAAGGAAACCTTCAAATTACTTGCTTTGTCCTGAAAAAAAAAAAGACAAAAAAAAGACAAAAAAAAGACAAAAAAAAAGACAAAAAAAAAGACAAAAAAAAGACAAAAAAAAAGACAAAAAAAAAGACAAAAAAAAAGACAAAAAAAAGACAAAAAAAAGACAAAAAAAAAGACAAAAAAAAAGACAAAAAAAAAGACAAAAAAAAAGACAAAAAAAAGACCAAAAAAAAGACCAAAAAAAAGACAAAAAAAAGACAAAAAAAAAGACAAAAAAAAAGACAAAAAAAAGACAAAAAAAAAGACAAAAAAAAAGACAAAAAAAAAGACAAAAAAAAAGACAAAAAAGACTAAAGGTGCTCAGCTTCACTTGTCTTTATGCAACATCCTTTTTATTATCTTTCCCTCTGGATCTCACTTACCCACCTGTAACTTGGAGACCTGCTGCCCCAGAGAGAGGGAGCCACAGACATTTATTAGGCTGCAGGAAGGAACATAACTGAAAACACTGAGCAGTTTGGTCTCCCAAACTGCTGCTGACCACTGTGCATTGTGCTGAGACTGCACACAGAAAAAAGCCCAACAAAACCAGCCATCCAAGAAGCTTCTCTAGGGCAGTGGGCAGGACCCCATGGCACAGGAAGCCTGGACCAAAACAGGCTGTGCTGTGAAGCAGAGGTGTGGTGGGAACAAAAGTCCAAGGGGAGAAGGACTGAGGTGATGTGAAGTGCAATGTCACAGGCAATTGGACCTCTGACACCTCTTCATTTTGAGTGCTTCGTCTTGCCATGTTGAAAATGCTATTTGAACAATTTTCCTGGGTAACATTTGGGTAAACTAATTGGCAATTGAGTATGGTAATGGATCCTCTCTTTCCTGCTCCTTTCCTCTTTCAAAATCCCGAGGCTTCAGAAGAGTACTTCATATCTCTCCAGCCTTCTTTTCAATCAGAAGTGATATTTTAAGGCTAACAAAGCAAAACAAATGAAAATACAAGAAGATACAGCAAAGAGAATGAACTTGAGAAATTAATATTTTTGCTGGGGGAAGGAATGAGAGGGGAACTGCATGAATCTCTGGATATCTGCCCCACCAGCAGAAAGCTGGATGAGGGTCTGCACAATCTAGTGTAACATATGGGTCTTAAATTATACCAGCTAGAAAGACCCCAGTGCTGCATCTTCCTGTCACTGTCCCATCCCTAAACCCTCTGCACCTGAAGGCGGCTTTGGTTTGAGGATGTTTATGCTGTTTATGCAGATACACAGAAGTCAAGGTGTGAGACAAGATGAGACCCGTGAAATCCAGCTAGACACAGCTGCTTGCCATTCCTCCCTTTGGTACCACATGGCCAGCACGGGTCTGGAGTTCTGAATTTCAAAGAGCAAGGACTAGGTTCCACTCTGCTTCTGCATCACATAAAAATAAGTTAAATGCTATTGTTGAAACAGTTTCTAAATTGCCTTTATTTGAAAAGATTAATTTAAGGGTTCACTACAGAACATCAGTTTCATTCATTATTTACATTTAATTAAAGTCCATATCTGTACCCTGTGTCACTTGACAAATAAAAAAAATACCTATCAGAAACAAAAGTATTTATGATTGTTGTGGTCCAAGAAGATGATGCCCAAGAAGACATTATATGCAGTAGCAAGTGTTTGCACCACTGATCTCCAAGGCTTGCTACAGGTTAGGAAAGGTGTGGCTGCAAACTAAATTAACTGAAAACAGATTTAATTTCTGCAGTGTAAACACCTCTTAGAAATACACTGCATGTATTTATTCAACATGGTTTTGATATGTGAAAAGTGTGGGATCTAGTTGTAGAGGATTACCACCACAAAATCTGGACTCTTATCTCTCTAGCAGGGCTTATTCTTGTGTATCAGTGGAAACTAAAGGAGACAGGTCCCAGTTCAGGGTCCAGATGCTGTCTTGAAAAAGTGATGAAAAGGGGTTTGCACAAATGAGCTGAACTGTGAATCACAGACACTTTAGTGATTTCTATCATTCTGAAAAAGGGGACCTGCAGCAGAGCAGACAGCACACAGGTGACCACTTCAGAAACTACCTCCTTTTCTATTGAAACACACAAGACAGAGTCTGAGTTCTGATAAAGATGTCCAGTATCACACACCAGTACCTCATGATCTACCCTAAGCCCACTTAGAGTGGTTTGTGTCCATATACCTGATGTACGTAACGCATAGAGACACAGATTGACTGTGATACAAAGAATTATATTATCACAGCTTTCCAAGATTGAAAATAAACTCAAAACACAAAAGTAAGTAAAGGTAGGGAAGAGAGCTTGGTCCCGTGGGTTTCAAAACCTCTTTCCTCCTTTGTGTTTAAGGAAACAATTGTGGTAGAGAATGGAGCTGAAAAAAGGCAGACCTTCTCACTCATTTTTAATTGAATGCCTTTCTGTTCATTTGACTGATCTGAATGCTGTCTGACATTTCAGAACTGAAGAGCAACTGCAGAAACAGCTTTCAAGGTGAAAGCTGAGAATGTTTCCCTGATCCAACACCTACATTACTACTGGAGGACAAGCCTTCAGGAGGGTGAAGTCCGCCAAGAGAAGATCGGGATGCTCACTTAAATACCAGGTGAAAGATGCTGCATTAGTCACAAACTATAAGTAAATTATGTGACATTTCTCATCTTCCATCCAAACTGCACAATAAAGAAGGATTACCTGCTTTCTGGCACTGAACAATCTTGTCATGAGTGATGTCTGCTGTCTCAATGAGGACCCTGCTCTCTTGAATCATCTGCCAGAAAAGAAACAGAAAAAAAGCAGCATTACTAGGGTTTCCTGCCACATCTAGACCACAGAAAAGTAGAGAGATTCAAACTTAAAAATAGCTCTGCTCTTCAAGCAACACTATAAAGATTGGATCATATCTTCATATCAGGGCTCCCAGATCTATATCAAGATAAGTGACAGTTGCTCAGAAAATGTTTTGCTCCTGAAGTTAAAGAACAGCTGTTTTACTTCAGTGAGACAACACTACAAAAAACGTGAAAGAAATACAAGCGATTTCAGAAGAAAGCAGAGTCAGCACACAAACCAAATTCATTCTACATGACACTGAGCACTTTCTGATTAGTACCTTTCTTCAAACAAAAGTAGTATAGTCCGTGGCACAAGTGGCTACCAAAAGTGCTAGCAAGTCATTAATATCGTTCTGATTTCAAAAGATACTTAAGCCTCTGCTGAACTTCATGCACTACAGCAGTTAGGACAACTACAGAACTTCTTGACTTTTTCTTTGAAGAAATTCAGATACAAATCCTATTCTATCCTCAACATTTCTGTTGAACTTTAATAGAAAACAAAAACAAAAGAGGCAGGCAGTTTCAAAAAGCCTGCTCCTAAGTTTCAAGATATATCCATATTTATGCATCTTTCTAGTGTAGCCCATTAAGAGCAAACAGATGAATTGTCCATTAAGTGACAAGTTTCCTGAACCTCCCTTCTTGCAACTGTTACTCTCCTTCAATGCTAATAAACCTTCCAAAACCCTCCAAAAGCCCAGGCAGTCAAGCAAATTGTTCCAGTGCTATGTTCTCTGAAATCACAGAAGGTGGCACATAAATCTGTTACAGAAGGCAAGAACAGGCTGCATAACAAACCATGCCTGAAAATCATCTCCCTCTCTCGGGACATACACCACAAGTCCCCGTCAAATGCAAGCAGCATCAAAGCAGTGCCAACTAGGAATGAAGCAAACTGAATCCTGCCTAATGTATCAACCTGAAATTACTGAAGGCACTTGTAAGCTTTGCCAAAATGCTACAACTGCTAAAAGCCTTCCTCCTATCAATTATTCTAAATAGGAAAACAGAACTAGTAGGTTTCAACTATTTCAGCGGAAGATTATATAAAGTATACAAATTAACACTTGCAAATTAGCATCTCTTATTGTTTTAATTAGATAGAAGGGAGGAAAGATGCTTCTATACTTGTCAGACCCAAACTTTCAAATTCTGGAGAAATTCAGATCCAAATTTTGCTCCTCATGCCATCATAATTTCAAATTTAAACCTATTAAGGCAGGCTTCAAGTAGTAAAAGTACTTATGCCTTTGCTTTGATATAAACAAGAGCATGAGAAAAAATTCATCACCAGGTTCAGGGGCAGAGAGAAAAAGGCCTGACAACTGCAGAGTGCAAAACTGTTTTTTAACAGAACATGCCCAGTGGATATGCCTGAGATTCAAATTACTTTCAATAGTATCCTTCGCCTTTCATTCTTATTACTTGCTTTTTTGTGCATCATGTGTATTTTTTTCCTCTTTTATACTTTTGCTTGTCTTCAAGAAAGAAATTACAAATTCTATCCACCCTCTGGTTTTTCAGTACCACAGAGCACAGCCATTTTGTGATGGAGGAGCTGTTCAGCCACCAACTACAAATGCCACAGTTGGTCTGAGCAGTAAAGAGAACAGGAACCCCCCCCCCCAAACCTGCAAGTCACTACAGAGGCAGCCAGAGGCCAAACACACATCTCCTGCACAGGCAGACATAGGGCCTGTGAGCCAGTGCCTGGTCCAGCCAGGCACTCCCAGCATCTCCATAGCTGCTGTACCCCAGGCATCCATCACCCTGGGCTTGCTCCCCATGGGTCTGTCCCTGAATTTCCTACCCACCAGCAAGGATTTGCCCAGCAAAGTCAATGCATCTAAGCTGGGACAGTATATCCAAAGTGCCCAACTCACCTGTGCTCAGGTCTCTAAAGTAGAACTTGTGAGAATTTTAAAATATATGTATACACACAAATATATATATACATATATGACCACAAAAAAATCATCCTGGCATGCACAAAAAAAGCAAGTTTCAGAATAATGCAATTTGGTAATTTAAGTTTGAGCATATCTTCCTCCAACTACTGGACCCACTTTCAGGAGATTCTGGCCAGTCTGCTCTAGAATTCTCAGGCATGAAGGTATTACATTCATTTTTAAGAGAAAAGTGGCAATAGGATGTCAATTTTCTCTTACTGCAGAGTAGGTAGATCAGCCCTCCGCTCCTTTGATGCTGACATCAAAGTCTCACTGCTCTCAGCTCAGCAAGAACAAGCAGAATTTAACCTGTTCCTGTCTTCTTGCTTGGCTGTAGCCTTGACAAAAACAAGCAGCTTTTGTCCCATGACAGATCCTAAGAGTGGATTCAGAGCTCCTCAGCTCACTGAGTGGGATTAGGGGATGCCTTTAGTGCACCACCTGGCATCCCCACTTCCCAGGTTCCTCTAGGAAATAGTGCAGTAGGTAGAAATAACACAGCCTGGGCCATTATATAAGATTTTGGCCAGCCTATGGTGTCTTTGCCACCGGTGATGACAAGAATGTGCAGTGTCTGGTATCTCTGATGTGACAAGCCAAACTTTGCTCCCAATAAGAACTGCCTATGCAGTTTCACTGGGCACAAGATCCTGCTTCCTAAAGCTGCAGTAAAACAGGCTAGTGCAAGGGCAAGACCTGGGTGCTCTCTTTGAAAATCCAGAGACTGACTCATACAGATAAAAGTACAGCACACAATTGCTATCCAGCAATAAAATTCTAGCACAAGGTGTGAGGTTGTTTGGTTTGGCTTTTAATTTAAAATCTTCCCTCTCATATGTTTTCACTTACACAAAAGACAGCATCTTGGAGAATATTTACTAAATAAACATTGTAAAGGTCACCTAAAAAGCTAAGTTACTAGTAACTGTTTACTGGAATTAACGTTAATGGTCTGTCGGTATTCAATTTAACACAGGTAAAAGCAGGTGAGAGCCTGAGCTAGAGACTGGTGCCTTCTCACACATCCTTTCACACTGGACACCAGACAGCAGGCAGAAGTTTTGGCATGGCTCCTGGCTACAGTAGAGGATGCTGGCCAGGGATGCAGCATGCTGGCTATAGACACCTTCACTTGGTCCCCTCCACCAGCCCTAGAATACTTTGCAACCATGGCTCTGCTCATCCACAGTTCCCACTTACAGTCCTGTGTCATGGCATCTAGACAACCTTTCACTTTTTCGGCACTGGTCCCCACCTTTTCCAGCTGGCATCACTTCCAAAGCCCTGTTTGGGAATTTCACCTGCTTCTCATGCTGCCAAGACAAGAACCAGAAGACCTAAACACAATGTGGAGGGCTGTGAGATTTTTTTCCTAGGAAGGTAACCCCATAAATCACACCATCGCCTGAGATTTTTCAAACCCACTTTTGCCAGCAATGTTTCAAAATCCACTAACCTGACTTGAATATGAAAAGAAAGATGTCTCATGTTTGCAGCGTGAATTTCCATGCACCTTTACTCTGCTCAGACCTGCCCTGAGCAGCACTCTTGGGCAGTTGTGTAAGTCCCAGCCATCTGCCTGGAGCCCATCAGGCTGCTCATTAATGTCAGCTCCCACATGGCAACTGGCTTCAGTGAGTGCCTCTCAAAAAACAAGAAACATCCTTCTCCCTCAGGAAGCTCATGCTCCACCAGAGCATTAACTCCTGAACACTGAGCTTCAAGGGATTAACCTCCAAGCAACATACACTGAAAAACAACCTTTAGAGGATGGATGCTGGTATCTGGGGTCCACCTGGGAGTCAGGAATGAAACTTTTAGCAGCTGCTGGAGCTGGCAGGATTGCTCAGGACAACTTGCACTTCCCATGTCAGAACGATTATCAGTTTTACTGAGTGATGTGTTTAACATAAACACAAGGGGAAAACATAAAAATAGGAGTAAACCAACACAAATCTGACTCTTAACTTAACAAGCTACCTTGCTGACCAACAGCACATACCTGTTAGAGCAGGCAAAAGGGAAGAAGGCTGAACAGAAGAAACTACCACACACCTTAACATCATTTGGGATTCTGCTAATTTCAGTACTGGACTCTGTCCCCCGAGTGCCCAGAACCATGAGGAGGGCTCAGGGTCCCTGCTGTGCTCGCTCGCTCGGCAGCTGTAGCAGAGCAGAGCTCTGTGGGAACAAAGGACACCCTGCTTCTCCCATCAGGGACCCTGCCACGTTTCCATGGGAGCAGGGACATGAAGATTTTTGAGAGTCCTAGAGGTGCTAACCCTCCAAGAGAGGCTACAGTGCCAGAAATGCTCTGAGAAAAAGAAGTGAATAAGGGGCTGTTCAGATGGACAAAAGACGTACATGGCACAAGTCCCAGAAGTACAGGTCACATTTAATAAACTAATGGGAATGGGGACTACAAAGCCTCATCTGCACAGGTTAGGGGTTTCTCTGTAAAATAACTACTTTAATTTAAATATTCTCATGCAATGCTGAAAGCAAGAAAGCTAAGCTTGATTTATCTCAGTGTACCTGAAGCATCCTGTTACAATCATGTGGGTTTCTCACAAAAGGCTGGGAAGCAAGAGCTGGGACAAACCTGGGGGCTCTCTCTTGTCTCGTCTATGAGACCCAGAAAGTCAAACAGACCGTGGGTTGAAAATATTGTGAGTTTTTACTCACAAGAAATTAAAAGGCTTATTTCTTGCCTGTAAGGAGTTTAATTATAGTAGCAGTTTAATTATAGGATCAGTACAAACTGAACAAAAAATGCCATTTCTTTTTAGTTTAATGAACTCCTGTGCTAGAGACTGATTTCTTCTTTTAATTACAAACTACTCTACAAACTGAAAGAGAGAGAGGAAATTAACACAGCAGAGTCTCAACAAAAAAAGGCAGGAGAAACTCCTGGTAGAAAATTAAAGCCCTGCTCCTTCTGGGGAGATAAATGGGACAGTTTAAAGAATCCTCTCATAAGTTTA